CCCCCCCCCAAGCTGGACTATATCACCTTTCTATATGGGACCAGTCTGTTTTGTACGGCATTATAATAGAACTCAAAATCTCGGGGGTAGGTGTCCCTAAATATATGCACGGTATGCTATGTGACCTCACTGGGCAGGACTCTGTATATGGGACTTGTTTGTATTGTACTCCAGTATAATAAGGCTCAGAGTCTGGGGGGAGGCTATGTGGCCTACAATCTGAACTCTGCATCACCATTGTATGAGAAACCCATCATAATACAGTATAATATGATATAGGGGGGTCCCTATAATATACACAGAGGGGAATTTATCAAAACTGGAGCAGTCATCCATTGCAACCAATCAGCTTCTTCCTTTAATTTTGAAATCTTCACTGAACAAACTGAAGAGAGAAGCTGATTGGTTGCCATGGGCAACTGCTCCAGATTCTATATGCCCAAGTTTTGATAAATTCCCCTCACAGTATGCTCTGTTGCACCCCCCGGGCTGGACTCTAGATCTTCCCTGTACAGGATCTCCTATATGTATAACTACATCACTTACACTTGGGGGGGTCATCCCTATAAGAGATACATTGTATCATCTGTGTCCCCTGCCCCTGTACTGTCCCTCAGAGTCAGGGGGGGGGGGGGGGGTGTCTAAATAATAGAAATACATTGTATCATTTGTGTCCCTTGCATCTTCCCTCAGAGTCAGGGGGGAGTTATATGGAGATACATTGCATCACCTGTGTCCCCTGTATTACTCAGAACCAGGGGGGTCTATATAGAGATACATTATATAATCCATGTCCCCTGTATCAATTTTGACTCTTCCCTCAGAGTCAAAGGGGTGGAGGGTTAATTTGGGGATACATTCTGTATCATCTGTGTCCACTGGTCCAGGCCCTGTATATGGGACCAGTCATTAGTAGAATAATTTGGTTTAGAGTTGGGGGTCCCTGTAATAGATAGATATACATTGTATACTCTCTGCCCCCTGAGCTGGACTCTGTATATTACCCCAGTATAACTTGGCTCAGAGTCAGGGTGTCCCTGTAACAGATATACATTGTATGCCCCCTGAGCTGGACTCTGTATAGTACTCCAGTATAATTTGGCTCAGGGTCTGGGGGGTCCCTGTAACAGATATACATTGTATACTCTCTGCCCCCTGAGCTGGACTCTGTATATTACCCCAGTATAACTTGGCTCAGAGTCAGGGTGTCCCTGTAACAGATATACATTGTATGCCCCCTGAGCTGGACTCTGTATAGTACTCCAGTATAATTTGGCTCAGGGTCTGGGGGGTCCCTGTAACAGATATACATTGTATACTATCTGCCCCCCTGGGCTGGACTCTGTATATTACCCCAGTATAATTTGGCTCAGGGTCGAGGGGTCCCTGTAATAGATATACATTGTACACTCTCTGCCCCCCTGGGCTGGACTCTGTATATTACTCTGATATAATTTGGCTCAGGGTCGGGGGGTCCCTGTAATAGATATACATTGTACACTCTCTGCCCCCCTGGGCTGGACTCTGTATATTACTCTGGATAATATTTGGCTCAGGTTCTGGGGGTCACTTGAGTTAGGGTACACTCTGCCATATACAGGTCTCAGGGCAGCCCCGAGTCCCCCGGCCTGCGTGTGCCCCGGGGGTGTCTCCTGCAGCCTGTGTATCCCTCCTACAGGGAGTCACATGAGTTCTCCAGTCGGCTGCTGCAAGCAGGAGGGGGAAGGAGGGGAAAAGTAAAGATGGCGGTTCTGGGCTCACTCCTACCATCCACACGAACAACAACGGCCTCCACTCACCCGCTCTTTGGTCCTCCTGCTCTCACCGCGGTCCGCTGCCCCCGGTTCCCGCCTCCGGTGCTTGGCTCTCAGCGACTCCGCCAGCAGCAGCAGCCATTCATCGCCAGCTAGGAGAGATGCAGCGATGGCCGATCACACTGAGCTAGACTGTGAAGAGATAGGCAAGGCCGCATTAGAAGAGCGCCGATCGCAGCGAGCCAGACAGTAAAAAAAGATGGACAGGCAGCATCAGTAGAGCAAAGAGCGTATCGAGCCAGACGATGATGAGATAGGCAGTCAGGGTTAATAGCAAGCCGATTTCATCGAGTCAGACAGTGGAAGAGACGACGGACAGGAAAGAGCAGCCGAGCGCCAATGTGAATGAGCTAGACAACGGATTATCGTGATGAATAGAGATGAGTTAGGCAGTGTAGTCACAGTATAAATGTGCAGCTGAGTGGGGAAGTAGAATAGTAATGAATGAGGCGTTAGCAAATGATTGCGGAAAAAAAGAGATGGGCCACGGCAATCGCCGTTGCATAAAGCGGACAAGCCGGTGTCTGCGGTGGGAAGAAACCATCCGAAGGCGCTACATACCGAGCGCGCTAACCCGATTGGGAGACAATCAGGCGGACCCCGGACGAGGCAGACGGCTGCTTGGTGCCCCAGACTATGGCTTTCATAGGTAGGCTGAAGAGAACGACCGCCGAAACAACGACCAGACAGACTGACCAGGCGCGTCAATAGAACGCCGAGCCGGGGCCAGCTCAGGACCTGCACTGGAGGAGAAAGGAATGGATAGTCGAGGTCATCGAGCAGCCTGCGTTCATAGAGGAGGTGGAAGGAGCGCCGAGCAAGGGAGCAGACAATGGGCGAGATAGGGAGGACGGCGAATCGATCGCAGAATCATAGAGCAGACACCCAGGGGAGACGAGTGGAACCTCGAACATCCAAGAATAGACAGAAAGGAAAATCCAAACAAAGGAGAGAAAAGCCGATGGTCGAGCGATCGATCCGGACAACGCTGCTGATGAAGAGACACAGAACCTGATAAAGACGATTACGGGCAGATAATACTCGAGTGACGTGTTATGATTAATGCTTATTATTATTAACATAATTATTTTTAATTGTATCACACACGAGGTCTTTGTTATCATCCAACAGGACACCCTCCTGATCCTGAACCTCTCTTTGTCTGTTCTGATTGCAGGAAACCTGTCATGAGAGGACTCTGAGCTCCCATTACTGACCTCCGGAGAATGCTAGCTGCCTCTAGCTTAAGTGTCACCAGACCCAGACTGCAAATTAGGAACGTTCGAAGTTATTTGCATAGTAGTTCTGGATCTGTGACTGCTGAAGCCATTAGATCACCATGGCAACCATGTAAACAAAATTTTCCGAACTGGGTCAGCAGTACTATAACTTCCGCTACAGGTTCCCTTTAAAGCCCAACTCCATTTTTTAACACCCCTCCATACTTACAAAAAAAACATTCACACCTTCTGTCTGGTAACATGGCGTGACTTCACTCACTGTGAGCCCAGGCCAGGGTGATGAAGCACTCCCATGGGTTGTGTTCATGAAAGCCTGGGCTTACAGGAAGTGGGCTGACTGATAATGGGCATCATTTATTATTATTATACAGGATATGGCACCAACAGTGAGCACAGTGTTTTACCGTATAAAAGGAAGACAGTACAGGCGGGCCTTATTAACACGAGGTGTTTAACTCCGGAGCCAGATTAGTGCAGCAGGAATCAGGTGGCTCTGGATAGCTGCGGCTGCTCAGCCTGTACAAAGCAATGCCAGGGGCTCCAGCTGTTTACCATCGTTTGGACGTAATCAGATATGGAGCACCTACCTAGGGTTTTGAGTCCTGTGTCCGGGTTTCAGGCCAGTGATACCTGAACACAAGATGTCAGTTTACTGATGACCGATCTCCCCCCGCTGTGTACATGGCTTCCTGCTCTCTGTGAAGGGAGTAATGCGGCTCTGTGGCAGATATTAATCCTTTGTCATTGTGTGTAAAGACCGGCGTGAGACTTTTTTTTTTCTGTTCAGGTCTTAAAGCTTAGAAGCATGAGGCAACACTACTCACATCACAGCTGAAGCGCAGTACGAGCCGGGTCCACCTCTGCCCCAACCGTTCTGTGTGCATGGGGGCTGCATTGTGCTGCGTGAAGCAGAAATGAGGCAGCAACAGGTACACAAGTGAAATGATTGTGCGTCACGGAGGTGACACAGAAGCCTTCACTGTGCAACCCGCAGCAACATGTAAGCCCTGAGTACAAGTGCACCTCTGGAACACACTCTGGGAGCATTGCCAGTGCTATCTTCAGAGACCGCATAGAAAGACTTGTAGTAATATATATATATATGCGTGTGCAACTAAATCTAGAAGAAAGAAATTGTGGGAGTTTTTTAAAGGGGAACTTCTATTTTATGACAATCATTCCCATTAATGAAGTCTTAAAGTGGACCTGTTACTGAAGTCATGTTTGGCTCTGCCCGCTCCTGCAGCCTTTTCAATCCTGTATGTGCTGTGTCCAGGTTTCAGGCCAGCTGAAACCATCAAGATGTCAGCTGGATAGGGGCAATCATGGGGTCCTGTTGTTCCAACCTGAGTGCAAGGAGGAGGCACAGGACACGGAGGGACACTGCAACTCAGGGAGCAAGAAGGTGTCTCAAAACACAGGGTGCAGATAAGTCTTGAAGGGCACACTCTCCTGGCTGTCTCTACAGTCTCTCTCCTGCATATCCTCCCAAAGTGCTTCTCAACCTTTCTTGGTAACATTTGCCAAGTTGTGGTGACCCCCAGCGGTAAAATTTAGGGATGACGCGGCTGCTGCAGCGACATCTGGCGGCGTGGAGGCAGAACTGACACTGCTGCGCTAGGAGAGGGCTGAGAAGGACTCTCACCTAGCACAGTTGAAATCACACAGCGACCCACAGGTTGAGAAGCACTGCTGTAGAACATGTTTTTCTATTTGTTGAGATTAGCCTTATTATTCAGTGATATTCCCCAGCAACCAGAATAATTAGTTGTTGCCATATGAGTCAATCTACTCTTTCTGGGAACATGTAGTAAGGAATTTATATGAATTCCATCATCCCAAGGATGTTTTTGTCCTATTAGTGCTGCAGATCTTATGCTTACTAAATGCACAGCTAGATTGGCAAAACTTGGCATTCCTTGTTCCCTTATAAATTTGAATCTTCTTTCCGTAGCCACGTACGCCGTCAGAATAAAAAAAAAAACACCATAGGAATGCATAGCTAGATTACTATTGGCTATTTCACTTTGGAATAGCAAACTAGCTATTGCACCCGCCCGCTGCTGCTGTTAATCACTGGAAGAGGACCTGATGGAGAACCTCATGTCCCCCTCTGCTGATTGGCAGCAGCAGAGGGCGGGTGCAATTGCAAAGTGAAATAGCCAATAGGAATCTAGCTATGCATTCCTATGGTGGTTTTTTTTCCTAACTTACGGCAGCCGGCGGCCCCCGATGTAAGAAAAAAAAAGACGATCGCAGGGAAAGGTTTACTCTGCTCGATAGAGCAGAGTAAACCTTTCCGGGATAAAGTGTTTCTCTCCCTGGCGGCCGGGAGCTGCTATCTAATAGCGGTAGACTCCCAGGCGACCCCTGGCAAATCGTCATGCGACCCACAGGTTGAGAACCGCTGCAATAGAGTGTTCAGGTTTCGCTTGAAGAAAAGGTGACAACCCTACACTTACCTCCGGTTAGGGACTGATGATCTCAAGCTGCTTACATCCAGGGGTGATCATCTGTCTGTAACCGCAGGTAATCACTCCATGTGCAATTACCTTTGAATGTGGGTGCACAGCTGTCTGCAGCCATTCTTTCCAATACTTGGGGCCGGAGGGTGACACTGCAAGTGTCACATGCCATCTTTATACCAAAAGCTGCACAATCTTGTGACCGCTGATCGCTCAGCTCACGCTCTTCTCCATGTAGAGAGCATTGACTGTGAATCACTGCTTTGTGCAGGTATTCCCAACTCCCCTCTCTGCTCCTCCAGGGCTGTTTGGAAGGGCAGATGGGAATGGGTGGGCACAGCTGGCTCTAGAGAAGCAGAGTCAGCTGTCAATCAGGCAACAGGGTGGATCCCAACAATATTGTCAGGATCTTTCCTGGCTGCAGTGTGGCTCTGTGCTGTTGGAAAATAGCGGGTAGTAGCCCACCAGATGCTGACTTTGGGTCGCAGGAGGGCATTATTCATTTGGTCTGCTGATTTGTCATAAGAGAAGGTATTTATGCTCATGTAAGAGCAGACTAAAGGCTGAAATCACTAAACTATAACGTGTGTTATTTACTATAAGGTTCATTTTCAACCATGTGACTCTTATAAGTGTATGTAAAGACAAAACTGCTTATTACATATTTTGGATAAAGTGTGGAAGAGTTAGACCCTCTGTTAATGTTTTTGTAGCTGTTTGTGTCCCTGTTGGAAGGTTCACCCCTCTATTTGTCCACCTAACCATTGTCACAGAGACAGGAAATTAGTGAAAATCCAAATGCTTGTAACCAGCAGAGCAAGAGGTGATATGAGGGAAAATTATCCAATTCAGACAAATGTTCCAGTGATTACTGTATATACACTTAAAATGAGAAGTATCACCACATCCCAAAGCCAGTTAAAACAAAAATATACCCTTGCCGTGGGGCTTCCCCTGCACTGCAAGGGTTATCTACTTGTTAATGTCTAGGGGAGCTGTGTAAAGGTCTTTTACTAACTTGATCCCCACTCCCCAGACATTAGCACTCACCTCTCTCCTCTACGCTCCAGCTTGTGGACTGCCCCATGGCATCCTCATGTGTAGCGCAGAGCTATGTGCCCTGCATTAAACATGAGGGTATCAGTGGGCCTCCGACCCATGGACTGGAGGGAAGAAGAGGCTGCAACCCAGGGAGCATGCAGGAGTGACGATCAGGTAAATCAATATGTTTTACACAGCACTCCCCAGACATTTAGGAGCACTTAACCTTGCAGTGCAGGGGTAGCTCCACTGCAAGGGTATTTTTGTTTTTTACCTGCAGATAGGCTTTAGAAATCTTTGATGGATTTCCCAAGGGAACCATGTGCTTGTAGCACTTGGCCCCGCTGTGATCTGTGCTGTGGTTGTGCAATAAAAGAATATAATTATTTCTGTTTCTGCTGGCTCTCAGCTCCACCCCAGGCTGAAACCCAATTTATGAGCGCTCCTACAGCAATCTCTCCTTCTCCTCTGTTTGCTGTGCATTCTTAAATTTCTAAATGCCTTCAATGATACAGCTCAGCGTCCATCCTACTAGAACATCCACAAAAACAGAAACAAATAGGTTTTTTTGCATACAGTGCATATCGGTGTCTGTTCCCTCTTCCATGCACCAAGTTTTACTTGAGTGCCCAACTCCTGTTGTTTGCCCTAGTAGATGTAAAGTCAGACATGCAATCTACCTTCTTCTCTTATTTTTTATCTCTCCCTTCCTTTAATTTCCCCCTCCATTCTCTCCCATTCTGTGTCTTCCCGGCTGGCTTCACAATTGGAAGTGTAGAGAGCTCACCCCCAATTCTGATGTCACTCCCATCTGCTGTCCACTAATTTCTACGGGGGCCGTAGGTACCCTGTAATGGGCAGGAGAGTGAAGTAAGAAGCTGGTGTGAGTGGGGCTGGATGTAGAGGAGCTGCTGTTGCTAGCAGACCAGCACAAGGAATTTTAATAAGCCTCACACAGAAAGCCTCCCCTCACCCCTGTTGTGAATTTCAGCACTCATCTACAGCACACAACTTCTGCCAGAAATGATCAGACCTTACTAGATATTTGTCTCCTTCTGAGCAGTGTGGTCAAACAGTGGTGGGGTGAGTGGGACCATGCTAGCTCAACAACCACAGCATGGGTCAGAACATGACCAAGTGATACATGCACTTGGTCCCCTGGGGGAAATCAACAACATTTTTTAAGTTGTGGCGGTACTTCATCTTCATGGGAAATTGATTCATCTTCCAGAGAGAGAGAAGGAAAGATAAGCTTATGCTGGGTTG